CTTCCAGTGTTGGGGCATTCACAACTTCTGGAGACAAGTTGTTCCACTGATTAATTGTTCTGTCAGGAAATTCCTCCTCAGTTCTCAGTTGCTTCTCTCCTTGATTAGTTTCCACCCATTGCTTCTTGTTCTACCCTCAGGTGCCTTGGAGAATAGTTTGAGAAGAGTCTGAGATATTGGAAGACTGCTATCATGTCTCCCCTAATCCTTCTTTTCATTAAACTAGACATACCCAGTTTCTGCAATCGTTCCTTATGTTTTAGTCTCCAGGCGCCTAATCATCTTTGTTGCTCTTTTCTGCAGTCTTTCTAGAGTCTCCACATCTTCTTTACATCGTGGCGACCAAAACTGAATGCAGTATTCCAAGTGTGGCCTTACCAAGGCATTATAAAGTGGTATTAACACTTCACGTGATCTTGATTCTTCAACAGGTCTTTATTTATTTGGATACTTCAGGATGTCCCACTTGGAGCAGTTCAAAATAGATGATCTCCTAGAACAGGGGCTGTCAAACTTTTTAAACAGGGGGCCAATTCACGGTCCCTCAGACTGTTGGGGGGAGGTGGAACAGTTGGGTGGCATGGCTAGGTGGTCATGTGACTAGGTGGTCATGGCTAGGTGGTCATGTGACTGGGTGGGCGTGGGCAGTTTTGTGGTCCGTGCAGGCCGGATTAATGGCTTTAGCATGCGCAGAAGCGTTGCACAAGAGAGCGTGTGCGCCCGAACCAGTAGTAAAAAAAAATGGCAACCCACCACTGTACATAATGTGCCCTAATGGCAAGACTATCAAAGTATAGTAGAATCAAACAACCTACTTATTTTTACTGATGGATTTCCTTTTCTCCCTGGCAGCCTCGTCTTTCAGATATCCTCTTATCTTTCTCTCTGGTTTTTTGCTGACTTATTTTGTGTGGGACATCTTGCACAATATAACTTGTATTATTTGAAATATTATTTTGAAGCTTTCCAGCAAAGCCTTTCTAACTTCTTAATCCTTATCCTTATCCGAACCGAACCATATAAACGTATTCATTCTTTTTTTATTCTGTTGCTTGTGTTTCTTATGAGGTTTCTCTAAAGCTCCTCCACAGGGGAAAAAAAATCATGAAAAATTAACTTGTACTCCATTACCATAAAAAAAATTCCTGAGCGGTTATGTGACTTCCTTGGGGGCAGGATTTTCATTGGCCTCTTAATGCTGGTGGTACAGTATTAAACTTTATGTCAAAAACATATCGTTTCACAGAAAAATCAAGCACATTGATAGGTCATTCTGCAAACCCACAGATCCATTGGAGTGGCAACTTAAGATTGAAGATTGACTCAGCTGTCCATCCTTCCGAGGTGGGTAAAATGAGTACCCAGATTGTTGGGGGCAATAGGCTGACTCTGTAAACCACTGAGAACTGTACAGCACTAAGAAGTGGTATATAAGTTTAAGTGCTGTTTCCTGAAATATACACTACCTTTTTCCATCAGGTAAATGTGTTTTATCAGAAGCCAATTTTTGGGGGGTAATTTTAGGGCTTCTTTAAGCCATAGGGACATGGTGACTTGGTGGCTAAGACCCTGAGCTTGTCGATCAGAAAGGTCGGCAGTTCAAATCCCTAGCGCCACAGAACAAAGTGAGCTCCTGTTACTTGTCCCAGTTTCTGCCAACCTAGCAGTTTGAAAGCATGTAAAAATGCGAGTAGAAAAATAGGAACCTCCTTTGGTGGGAAGGTAACAGCGTTCCGTGCGCCTTCAGTGTTTAGTCATGCTGGCCACATGACCACGGAGACATCTTCAGACAGCGCTACCTCTTCGGCTTTGAAACAGAGATAAGCACCCCCCCTAGAGCCGGAAACGACTAGCACATATGTGCAAGGGGAACCTTTGCCTAAACCATTCTTCCTTCTCTTATCACCTCTCTCAAGGAAATTAAAATCCACCATTATGGTTCTGCTGTTCCTTCCTCTGTGGAGGGAAAAACATTCCTACAAATCTTGTGGCTGCCATCAAGAAAAACTGCATATATGTGCATCAGTGGTGGGTTTCAAAAAATTTTGGAACCTCTTCTGTAGGTATGGCCTGCTTTCCAGGTCCACTGGTGGAACCTCTTCTAACTGGTTCGGTAGATTTGACGAAACGGTTCTACCGAACTGGTGCGAACTGGTAGGAACCCACCCCTGATGTGCATGGCATGTTTTTAAACATGTATGGACAGATACACCTGAATATTTGCTCCTTAGCTGGCAACCTGATGAGCAGGGAGAAAGAGAAGAGAGAGAGGGGGGCAAAGAATCTGCTTAAATTTGACTTTAGTTTTTCCCATTGCCCATCTGTCCATCAGGTTGCCTGTAGCCCTCAGCAGAAAAAAGGGCTGTCTTAATACAATGCAAATTGAGAAATGTTTGCGCTCTTGCTGCCTATTGGTCCTAATGGCCAGTGGCTATTGCCAGAATGAACGAGAGCTTGAGTTAAAGACCATCTGCTAGGAAGCTAGAATGGAAGAAAAAAAATATGCTGCATGCACTTCGGTTTTCCTCAACCATAGCCAGTTTAAGAAGTGAGGACTTCAATTCCCAGAATTCCCCAGCCAGCTAGGCTGACTGTGGAATTCTGGGAGTTGAAGTCCACACACCTTACAGTACCCAAGGTTAAGAAACACTGATATAACTGCTATCAGCTGCCTATCACAGCCATCACCCACCCACTTCCAATCCATAAAAGACCTTGGCGCAGGACTTTTAAGATAGCACTTTATTTGGTTCACAAGCATGAGAGCAGAGATGGGTGGCGGCAGCCATTCCTGGAACACCTAGACAGCTTGTTAAAAAAAGGCAAACAGTCCCTGGAACGTGGTTGGGCCCTCCATGGTTGGGCCCTACAGGGGAAGACAGCAAGTCAAGCTGAGGGGAAATTCAGCAGGGGAGGCCTCAGTGCTTGACATATACCAATCCCATGTTGGTAGGGCTGGAGAAAGAGTAAAATTGGCAGCTCTTACCGCCAGGGTAAGTAGCTGCTCCTGGGAGCATGAGCACACACAACAAACATCTTTTGACTGGGTTGGATCATATAATATTCTGAAGTGGGGGAAGCAAGGAAGGGAGTGAGGGAGGGGAAGGGGAGTGAGGGAGGGGGTTCCTGGCCTTGTGTGCTGCTTTCCTATTTCTACTAGGATCCAATTATTCACAGTTTAATTCAAGATAGTGCACAGGTGAATCTTTTAAAGTGCATGTGGCATAGCTCAACATTGGTTCGTTCAGACCAACAGGAGACTCCAGCAAGTCTCATCTGCCTAAGTCAAGTGAGGAAAGCATTTCTCTAAAACAGGGCTGTCAAACACGTTGCCGTCATGTGACGTATCGCAATTTCCCCCCCCCTTCACTAAAAAGGGGGTTGGGCGTGGCCAGCATGTGATGCTTCCGCCCCGTGAGCCGTGAGTTTGACACCCCTGCTCTAAAGGATATCAACTGCCTCTCCTTTGGAAGGATCCCTTCCAAAGCGGGACTACCCAAGCCTACAACTCCCAGTTGTAAGTCACACAAGCAGAAAAACAACCGAACCCAGTTCAACTCAGGCAGCTGGAACCCCTGGATCTCCCACTTGCTCAGTATGAATGTGAGAGAAACCCAAGAGCACCAACTCCCTCTCCCTCAGGAGACCTCTCCCTCTTCCCCATCCCTCGATCCAAAGCGAGTGTTGATGCATGCAGCTGCCAACCCCTTTGTTTACTACTTCTTCTTCTTCTCCTGAGTGCTGGTGAACCAGGAGTCCAAGAGCTTTTTGCTATAATAAAGTTGCCAGCCATGAACTTGCACCGCCACCACCACCAATAAATACATGACCGAGACCGCAGAGAAGCCGAAGATGAAACGGTAAGCTTTGCCGTGGCGGTAGAGCTGCTGAGCCATCGGGAACATCTCCATGCTGCCGTAGATGAGAGGCGCCACCGAGAAGAGGCCGGTGCTGATCATGGAGATCACCAAGTAGCTGATGTTGTTTCGGGGGAAGGAGAAGAGGCCAAAGAGGGAAGGGATGATACTGAGCAAGTATGGGTACTCCCACTGGTAAGGCATGGCCACCTTGTCATGGGGTAGAAGTTTGAAGTGAGCTACGCACATCTGTGCTGCCACCAACAGCCACAGGCCCACCTGCATGTAGATCAACTTCTTAATCTCAGATTTGAGAGATACACTGTGGAAAGCAGAGAAAAGACGGAAGGAGGAATTGGTGAGTTTGATCCTGTGCTTAACAACTGTCCTGCTTAGAAAAATCGGGCTGAACTGTGGTTGTAAGTCGAGGACTACCTGCATAAATAAAATGGGTACTTCTTTTCAATGGGTGCTTCCTTTTATTTTGTTTTAAATAATCTTTTGAGGAAAAAAATATCTAGCTACTGCAGACAATCTGGCAGCTATTAAGAAAAATTGCCAGTGGGTGCTTCATTACCCACTCCTGAACTACAGGATAGGCTTTTGCTTCCTTGAGGAAAGCTTTTTTGTGAGAAAGGTCAAGAGGCATTCATGAGAAATGTTTTTCTCCCAAAGCCCCAGGGCTTTGATCATTGCACAACAAGCAAACACTCGGTGACTGTTTTTCCCAATGTAATGATATTGCAATGGAAAAAAGCTTCACCGGCTAAATTGCCACCATGTGACAACAGTACACATTATTTATTTCAACCACATTTACCCTGGCTTTTCCCCTGCCAAGAACATCCATCTTGTGGCACCTGGGTCACAAATATATGAATGTATCTTTTCATGTCTTTTTATGTATACTGAGAGCATATGCACCAAAGATAAATTCCTTGTGTGTCCAATCACACTTGGCCAATAAAGAATTCTGTTCTGTTTCTATTCTATTCTATTCTAAGATTACGACAAACCTCTCACTTTCCAATATGGTAGAACGGTGCCCATTCAAAGATCTGGTAAGTTGACAACATGCTAAAGGTCTGGAAAGATAGCGTCTGTCTTTCGTTTCCCATTCAGCCACTACTAAAAACCAAGTCAGTTCCTTTATCAATCAACTAATAATCCATAGTGGTTAAGGTGCTGGCCTAAAAACCAGAAGACTGAGTTCTATTTCTGCCTTAGGCATGAAAGCTGGCTGGGTGACTTGATCAGTCACACTCCCGCAGCCCAACTCAGCTCAGAGGGTTGTTGCTGCAGGAGAAATAGGAGGAGGACGCCGTATTAGCTGTGTTCTCCACCTTGAGATACTTATAAAGTGATAAAGGCAGGAATGTAATAAATAAATCTGTAAGTAAGGTTGGCTTAAGTATCAAATACTACTTTGATCAGTTGGCCAAATTCACGACATCAGAGAACCCTTGAAATGAAACATCCTTGCCAAGAAGACTGTGGGGACTCCTCCAGAAAGTTTCCATGAGTTGAAAGTGACGGGCATAAAACAATAATCCTGCTAAAGCCTGTGTTTACAAGTAAAGATACTTTAAGATAGCTATATTTTCTACTTCAAAAAGCAGAGGACAATGTCTAAGAAAACAAGGAAAGCTTAACAACAGGAGGCCCGCATTCCCTCTCCAGCCAACCTCTCTGAAACAAGTATTGGAAATGGGGTGAAAATGAAGACATGAAAATTAGCTGGATTGAATGGATTTGTTCCATTTGCAAGCCTGTCTTAGGCGACACTTGCCACCCTTGCTTTCTTCTCCCAATAAACTCCCTTTAGATCTCGAGAAATGGCTTCGTTGGTTTAACAAGGACATTTCTCATTCAAACTTTGCAAGAGCATCTTTATAAATGAAGAGGCCAGTCAAATGTGGCTGACCTCAAAGACATAAATAAAGAGAATGGTTGGCTACTATTTGTTCCAGAAAGCTTTTCAACTTCTCAGGCTTCTCTACAGCCCAGAGAAAAATCCTGGTGCTTTCCCACTCAAGTACTAATCCTGTTTAGCTGTTTTGAACTGAGCTAAATGCTGCCACTACCTGCTGTGTATTTTTATAGATATCCTTAAGGCTTGTGACGGTAGAGGACAAGCCACCAAGAATCCTAAGAGGTCAGTAGGGGCGTGCATAAGTGCACCAGCGTGCCTAATGTCCCTGTCCTACTGTACCCATTTATTTGTACCCATTTCCTGTGTTCTTATTCATGTTTATTCTTATTCTTGTTATCTAGTACATGAGCGACGAACGAACTAAATAAATAAAATAAATGCAATCTAAGGAGAAACAAATGCAACGCTTAACCTCATTATTCAAATGCAATCGAGCTGCATGCTGTCCCCGTCTTTTTGCCTTTGGGAAAAGGAGCTTTTTTATATTTATATATCTATATATATGTCTATATATATCTATATCTATATATAGATCTATATCTATATATCTATATCTATACATATACATATATATAGATAGATATAGATATAGATATATCTATACATATACATACATACATATATATATATAGATAGATAGATAGATATAGATATATATAGACATATATATAGATATATAGATATATATAGATATAGATATATAGATATAGATCTATATATATATATAGATATATATAGACATATATATAGATATATAAAT